AGATCAGGTATGGTGGTGCATGCCTGTAATCCCAGCACTCAGGAGGCACAGGCAGGAGGATTGTTGTGGATTCCAGGCCAGCCTGGTTTCAAAGCGAGCTTAAGGCCAGCCTGAACTGCGTAGTGAGACTCTGTCTCTAAAAGACCAAAAAAAAAAAAAAAAATTAAGTTGTATCATGTATGGATACAAATTCCCTATGGTGAGTGTGATCATTACATAAATGTAAAATGCGCCAATAAATGTAATATAGAAAAAAGAAATGGGTGAAAATGCTCTCCAAACAGTACTCATTAAGGAAATGCAACTTAAAGCCACAGTGGGCAACTACTAGACACATGCTTATGTGGCTAAAGAGACTGACAACATCAAGTGCTGGTGACCACGCAGAGCAAGTAGACCGCTCACTGCGGGTAGAAAGGCAAAAGGAAACAATATCACTGGAAAAGTGTTTGGGGCCAGGAAATGGCTCAGTAGAGGGTCTGAGTTAAAAAGCAAGCAAGCAAACAAGCAAGCAAGGAAGCAAGCAAAGCAAGGAAGAAGGAGGAGGAGGAGGAGGAAGAAGAGGAGGAGGAGGAGGAGAAGGAGAAGGAGAAGGAGAAGGAGAAGAGAAAAAAGAAAGAAAGAAAGAAAGAAAGAAAGAAAGAAAGAAAGAAAGAAAGAAAGAAAGAAAGAAAATGTTTGACATTTTCTAGCAAAATGAAGCATTTTCTTCCCAAATCGCCCAGAAATTTCATTCCTAGGTTATTATTAAGGAGAAGCAAGTACTAATATCCAGCTAAATCTTCATAAGCTGTATTTGTAGTAGCTAAAATCAAGACCCAAAGACTTAATAAATGTCTATGAAGACACAACCCACATGGTGTGGCCTACGTGGCCTGCTCTGGAGAGATACTCTGCAGTGAGAAAGAACAAACTACTAATAATGCAATTCGAGGGTGACTCTTGAAAAAGTTACGGTAAAGAAAGGAAAGTGGACAGGAAAAGACAGACTTCGTGTGGTTCCTTTTCTATGAAGTTCAAGAACAAGCAGAATGAACAGGGGGTGGCTGAAGCCAGCATAGCATTTTCTTCCAGGAGTGAGAAGGAAGGTTGACTGGATGGGACAGGAGGGGACCTTGTGCTTCCCTGAGGTGACAGAAATGCTCTGGATCTTGATGTGGGTGGTGGCTGTGTGAGGAAACAGAAAAATGTGTGCATTTCATTGTACATAATTTATATTTCTATAGTCCAAGCACTCAAGAGGCTGAGGCAGGAGGATTACTGTGAGTTCAAGGCCAACCTGAAGTGCATAGAGGAACTCTGTCTCAAAAAGACCAAAATTGCAGAACAATGTCATGATGGAAAATGGAGAACTCTACTTTGTTTTGTACCCCATGCCACCAGGAGCTCTCCAGAGGTCCTGGGGCTGTGGCAGTTTAGAGTCCCCTGCCTCCCCACCCTACCCCCACCCAGACAGCTTAGATCAA